GCACATCGATTTCTGCCCTCAGGTAGATGTTTCAAGGAAGACCAAATCTATGATTTCACTAAATTTTATTTAATTTAATTTAATACACTTTATTAATTTGTGAAGGGCAGTTTGGTTTGGGGCATATGGATCTGACAGGGCAGACAAACACTCTCTATTTATCTTATCCTCAACAAGGCTAAATTTAATTAATCAAAAGACAGTAAAAACATTCATATTGAGAAATAAATTATAATATATTTTAAGTTAATAAAAAGAAGAGACCAAAAGTGACAGTAAAGACATGTATAATCTTACAAAAGATTTCTATTTCAAATAAATGCTGTTCTTTCGAACTTTTTATTAATCAAAGAATCTTGATAAAAGGCTTTAAAAGGCCTTTACTAAATAACTGAGCACAACTGAAGTCTGAAATAATGGCTGCTGAAAATTCATCTTTGCAATCAAATGAAAAATATATTTTTAAATATATTAACAATAGTTTTTAAATGTAATAATAATATTTCACAATATTACTGTTTTTACTGTCTTTTTAAAAATCAAATTAATACAGCCTTGGTGAACATAGGAGACTTCTTTTAAAAACATAATAAAAACAATGATTCCAAACTTTGAACTTGTGAAATATAAAATATCTGTGTCCTTGAGAAATAATAAGTAAATACTTTGCAAACACTGTACTTTGTTAGTATTTGCATAATTATTCAGTGCAATAATGAATCTTTAATTTCTTGCTCACTCTTTTTTAAGGCTGTGAAATGGCTTTATTATTCCCAATGCGCTCCAAGCACATCTTTGCAGAGGTAACACCCTCCATGTCCATGTCCCTACAATCATTCACCATCTGTCTGTGGGCCAAAGTGACTCAGTCTCTGAATAAAACAGTGCTTTTGTCTTACGGAACCAAGAAAAACCCTCAAGAGCTCCAGCTTCTATTGGCAAGACACTCGGTGCTCCTCACGGTGGGCGGTGAGACCCATCTAGTGGAAGCTCACAGCGTAGTAACAGATGGGCAGTGGGGACACGTATGTGCAGCTTGGAGCTCAGAGCAGGGGCTGGCCGCTTTGTGGGTGAATGGAGAGAATGTTGCCAGAGTGCCTGGAGTAGCCGAAGGGCACGTATTGCCCAGTAATGGGTTAATTCTGCTTGGGCAAGAGCGCAGCCGCTCGGGTGTCTACAGAGATCTGGACTCATCGGTTGCATTCACTGGAAAAATGACAGGAGTGAACATGTGGGACCACGTGCTGGATGCAGGGAGGATTAAAGAGTACGCCAATCAAGACGGATCCTGTGATAGCCGTGGGAATGTGATTGGATGGGGTGTTTCAGAGATCATTCCACATGGTGGCTCTCAGTATATCAACTGAGACCAATATGCATTGCAATACAATCTTGTACATTAGGTAATATTACATTGTATATCATCAGTGATTTTGTATTTACCTTCTTTTTCATTCCAAATAAAAAGCACTGCTTAAAGGAGTAGTTCTCCCAAAACAGAAAATGTACTGTTTACTCAGTCTCAGGCCATCCAAGATGTAGGGGACTGTCTTTCTTCAGTAGAACAGTAAAGAAGATTTTAATTTGAACCCATGATCCCTGGTGGTTCATAAAATGCAAGTCCAGAGTACCGTACTTTGAGAGAAAAAAAAGAAGATACAAAAACACAAAATGAATGCCTTGGCTGCTGATGATATATTGAGGTCTTACGTAGTGAAACGACTGGCCTGTTTGAAACTGAATAGAATGTTCAGAAACTACAGCATTATTACATATCCATTCAGGTTCAGAGCAAACGTTTGACTTCATAAGACTTCAATATATCATTAGAAGACACAATTTGAAGAATTCATTTAGTTTTTCTGTAACCACTTTTTTTTTTTACTCTTAAAGTGACATTACCCATTGACCTGTATTTTATGAATCACCAGGGACCACGGTTTCAGCTAAAAATCTTCTGTACTGTTCTTTTGAAGAAAGAAAGTCAAAAACATCTTGAATGGCCTGACAGTGTTTAAGTTTTGAGCGAACTATTCCTTTAAAGGGACAATCTACACAAAAATGAAATTTCTGTCATCATTTACTCACCCTTATGTCATATATGATTTTACCCCCTGTGGAACGCAAATATATATTTTGTTAAATTTCTCAGTGTGTTTGTCCATGCAATGAAATTCAATGGGGCACAATGGAATTTTACTGTATAGTCAAAAACAGCTGAAACATTCTCCAAAATAACTTATTTTGTGTTCCACACAAGAAATAAAATAAAGCATGTTTGGAACGACATGAGGATGAGTAAATGATGACACAAATTTCATTTTTGGATGATTATCTCTTTAACCTTAAAACACTGTGCACAAAGCCAATTAAAATGGTTTAATATTGTGTATTCTTTTTTAATTTTAGCTTTTAGTAGAGAATTGCATTACCATGTAAATAAATTAGTTAAATGAGTAAAAAGCTAATCAGTTCTAGTGGTGTGGCTCAGTGAGGATAATTAATGGACTACAAATAGAAAAAAAAATGTCTCTGTTGTTCCAAATGACATTTTAATGACTTAAGGTGGGGCAAGTCTGGATTTATTTACATCACCATGCTGAATATGATTGTTTGCATTGGTCACCAATGATTCAAAACAGATTTTCCCTCTTCTATGGTTTGGTAATTTACAATGTTTGTCTGGCATATTGCTGCATAGGTGTTGCTCATGACTATTGCCAGTCTGACCACAAATAATATAAAATGAACCAAAACAAGGCGTGTGCTTTAACCATAGTGACATTAACTCTGAAATGACATCCACATGTGTACGTGTAATGATTGTTACAATGAGCAGTATTTTCCAGTGGTTTGTGAGACATATAGTCAGAATAGCCCTCCCATGTTAAATGACGTAAACTTTGTCCCGTCAACCTAAAAATAGACTATATTTAACCATATTATTTATTATGAATGCCTAACACATCAGTATCAATGACTGTAAAAGCTGATGTATATCACTTGCTATTTCTGTATTACAATAATTGTATACAGTATATATACAGTACATATCGTAAACAACATTGTTCAAGTAATTACATTTATAGAGCTCAGAATTATTTGGAAATCCATCAGCTCAAAAACAAAGAGGTTACAATATATGTGAATTTGTAGCAAAACACACTTTAGGAAGAAAATCATGATTGGCAGCCTATGCTGTCATTGAAAAGCCGTTAATGTAGTTTTGGGGCATCTTTTTCTATACTTTTATGTCCCAGGAGTTGATTTTTATTAAAACTAAAAAAAAATTAAAATTAAATTAATTAATCAAATTAATTAAGTTTGTTATATGAAGGACACATTAAAACTGTCTTGGAAACGTTTATGATCTACTCAACAGTTATTTCTTTGCATTTTTTTAAATAAGAAATTCTATCAAAACACAGGTCAGATACTTAAGTCACAGCAGGATTATTTAGATGAAAGAAGTGTTGAAATTGTTGTGATAAAACTTTGAAAAGACATATGACAAAACAGACATGCTAGAATATTGCAACCTACCTGTGTTGACTAGCATTACCTACCTTAATGTCGCTTTAAAATGTTAAGACAAAGGTAACAAGGTGACAAAAGAGATCTTCGGGATCCTTCTTTGCCTGCCATTCACCCAAGAATAAGGGGTCGGATTCTTCTTTCTTCCCTTTGGCTTGCTTACCAGCTTATAGAAGTGAACAGCATGTATTTCATTCGACTCATCCCAGTGTTCATAAGAGGTCTTAGGCAGTGGATACATCACACCTGACTGGCTCTTCAGCTTTGCAGCACATTCGATGGTCTCCTTCCAGCCATCAACCCATGTATTCCAGTCCACATCCTCATCCCAGATAACAGCAGAAGACTGAGCAAAGGTTTTGTCAGGTCTGGAATCTTTGCTGCCAAAGAGAAAAGTTTCAACCTTTTTTGCATTAGTTGGTACCCAATGTTCTTGTCCTTTTAACAGTACACCTGGCTGGCATGATGGTGGTTTAGCTTTCTAAAGCTCCTCTGCTCCTGAACTCTTCTCTCAGGAGCTGGCTTCTCCTCATTCCACTTGTTCCAGGACATCAGTTATCGTCGGCCCATGAGACGGAGGACTGTAAAGAACTATCTATCACCACCAAAATTTCACAGCTGCACAACTCAGACATATATCACAAAGAAATATGAATGATCTGACCAGAGTAATGAGTGTGCTCAATTAAAGTGCTTTGTAGAATGAAGACCACCACTGCCATCATCCTCACTGCAAGAAAAGTTCAATTTACTAGAGTCATTCTAGTCATGTTGGAAACTTCCTCTGCATAAAAATTAAAGTATTTACACTACAAACATCTGGTTTATGGTTTACGATTTGCAATCATGTTCATAAAAGTTAAACGACTTCTAAGCAGATTGCCTTCTGTCAGTTTATATATACTATCCGTGCAAGTTTTTCATCTGAATTTCATGTACTTTAATTTGTAGTAGCTAGAAATTAGAATAAAACACTAATACAATTTTTATTGTTTGTAGTTGTAGTTCATGTTGTCATTTTGTCAAATTGTGCAAGAAGTGTGGAAATATTATTTAGTTGTGTACCGACATAAAATACTGTTATGAATTAGTTTTATTTTATAAATTAGCCTATACATTTACATTTCACTTCAGCTATGTTTAAAACTTCACCGTATTTCTTCACCACAAAACGCTAATAAACACAATACATTAGGCCTATCTGAATGTGGTGGAATTTATGTGGTAGAAGTTGTAGCCTAATGACTTTCAGAAAACATATAATAAATATTTGTGACCCTAGGTGAGAAACACACTTTTATAAGAATATGTTATCTTTTGGATGGATTTCTGATGTGCATAATCTGTTATGAAGTACAGTAACCGAAGTAAATGTACGTCCGCACACTGGCCTCTGGGTGGCACTGTACTCAAAAGGGAGCAGGAGTTGGTTAGAACAAACTTTTATAATGACAGACAGTCCTTTGTGAACGACACGTATGAAAGTTTTGAAAAAGCCAATTCATAGCCATTAGTCGGACTTACTTTTTCCGTAAGGGATAAGTAGCCTATAATTAGGGCTAACTCGAGAAGTCAACTGGTGCGTCCATTAAAGGGACAGCATCGCGAGGAGAAAAAAAATAAACAGACGGATCATTGTGGCTTTCCTAAACATTTACGTTACTGAAAAAGAATTGGATGGCACATAGTCTTTACTGTCTACTCAAGAAGAGGAGGAAAGGATGGGGAAAGGAATTTGTTCGAGACGACAGAGAAGAATATTTCAGTCTTTCCTGCTTCTCATCTTCGTCTGCGGGACGTTGTGCGCCTTCATGGTCTCATATGAGATGCATAAAGAGCTGAAAAAGACTGAATCGACGGCTTTGAAGTACCAGCAGCATCAAGAGTCACTTTCTGCGCAGCTGCAAGGTAGAAATGTAATGAAAAAGATCCTACAGCGAAGGCACTTTGTATTAGATGTTTTGATTAGGGCTTATCTGATTGTTTTGAGATATCTGATGCTTGCCTCCGGAGATTTCTATTGAAAATGTTTCGGCCTGTTTTGTTAATTCCTCTTATCCAAGCTCTTATATAGTTGGTGCATAATAATTGACACGCATCAGAACAGCATCAAGCTTTTCTTGTGAACAACATTCCTTGAGAATACTTATTTGCTTTCACTTGATGGCAATGCTTTCTGCCTCTAAGCTTTTGAATGGGGTCCTTTGACAAACATTGGGTAACACCACACTGAGGATTTTCACCTTTCTGTGCCAGATTATAGTGTTCATTATATCAAGGTGAATCTCATAAAACCTGTCAAGTCCAGATCACATTTCTGTCCAAAAGAAAACGTATCTTGCATAAAAGAAATTGAATATATACAACTGGACTTTTTACATTGTGAAATCATTTTCAGGACAATTAAGTTAATTTTACCCCTATATTCTAATCACTAGGGATGCACCGATATGAAAATTTTGGCCGATACCGATAACAGAAAAAATGAGCCGATATGGGCCGATACCGATATGGTGGCCGATATATCGTGCATCCCTACTAATCACTGTAAAGTGTCTGGTATTCTCTTTCTACTTTTTTTTCAGTAATGATTCTCATTACTGTAATACAGCCATTTACTGTATTGCAGTAAAAAAAGGCAATGATTTACAGAGATTTTTAAAATTAAAAATTAATTAGCTTTAATTCATTAAATGCAGTACATACAATAAATGCTACTATGATAAAATAAAATAATTTATATATTAATATTTTTAATTTAATATTTATGTTATTCCAGTGAGAATGAGATGTGCATTACAGTAATGATTTGGGGATTAAATTGACTTAAATATCCTGAAAATAATATCACTAAAAAAATGAAAGGAAAATTATAGTGTATGTATAGTTAGCATGTATATATGTACATGTATATATGCATCTATGATGATTTTTTTTATATGCTAGTATATTTAGCAACCATATATGTCATCAATATATGTTTTATTTATATATGCAACTTTATTAACACAACATATACAAAAAAAATCTGTTTATATGTTTTTGTAATTCCACAAAGCGGATCATTTAATATATTTACATTCTAAAAAAATACAATAAAAATAATATTTTTCTTTCTCTTTTCAGTGGTATATGAGCATCATTCTAAACTAGAGAAATCCCTCCAGAAAGAAAGACTTGAGCATAAGAAGGCTGAAGAGGGTAATGTCCTGTTCATTTGCACAATAATAGATTTCCTGATATACACAACCCACTTAATCTGGATGCGATTTGATAATGATGATAGATAATGAATGATAATGAGTCCAGGTTGTGCTGAATGCAGTCTGCTTCACGTTTGTTTTTAAAAGCCTCTATTGATTGTCAATACATCATAGATTTGCTTGTGTTTAAGCGGGAATCACAGAAGGCCCTCAACAAAGAAAAGGTCATTTAAAAAGTATGGTGTTTTGATTACTAATGATGTGTAAACATGATAAAGCTGCTGTCAGCTGTTGTGGATGCATAATAACTTACAGTTTTGTTTGACCTAACAGCAAGAATCAACCTATCGACTGAATGCTCTGCAGACAGAGCATCAAATACTGAAGGTGAGATGAAATAATGGAAGTTTTTGATAAATTAGTTATGGCATTTTAATTGTGGACAATGTTAAATATAATAATTTTCACGTCGTTTGCAAACCACTAAATCAGTCCCAGCATGAAGACTTGAAGATGCAATACTATGAACTTCAAGAGAAGCACCAGAATCAAGGGCAGGATCATGAACGTGTTCTGGATGAGCACAGGTTGGAAATGGACAACCTGCAGAGGGAGAAGGAGGTTGAAATTTCCAGACTGAAAGGTGAATCTGTGTGCTACTCTTGTATGTATTCAGAGTAATCAGATTTAAGGCTCAGACCAAATCCATTTCCAGTCATATAAAATGCACCTGACCACATACATTTGCTAGAGTCTTTCATCACCAGATTTCCTCCTTGCAGAGAATGTGTACAACCTTCGAGAGGAGAACAGACAGCTGCGGAAAGCTCATCAGGACATCTACACACAGTTACTTGACGTGCAGGTCAGAGAAACTACAAAGGATTCTGTGATGCATTATGTGATTAGAGTTTCAAGGAAGTTTGAATTTGCATGTAGTAGTTCAGTTAAGGACAGAGAATATACTAGTCAACATTTGAAGTGGATCAAAACCTTTCATCAAAGCTGTCCTAAAACCTAAAACCAAAATGTGTTCTTGTGTTAGGACAACTTGGATGAACTTTTTTTTTTTGATCCACTTCAAATGTTGACTACTGTATTGCTATTCAGTTTGTAATCCTAAAACATGGACTTTTACTATTCTAAACGTTACTGAAATTACAGTAATTTATTTCTTCCTCACCATTTCAGGAACAGCACAAGAACCTGCAAGCTTCAAAAGATCATCTCTCACTCACATTACAAGACCATAAAAATGCACTTGTTGCCGCCCAGGTAACACACAGTCATGACCACTGCTTTAAGTTTGTGTGTATCATGCTTGAAGTCAATCACATTCTGCCACTGCAACACCTTTAACAAATACAAAAACAAATTGGCAAAAAAAAAAAAATTGTTTGCTGGGTATCCCAATACTAATTCTTAACATTTAAAGGGGTCATATGATGTTGCTAAAAAGAACATTATTTTGTGTATTTGGTGTAATGAAATGTGTTTATGCGGTTTAAGGTTAAAAAAACACATTATTTTCCACATACTGTACATTATTGTTTCTCCTCTATGCCCCGCCTTTCTGAAACGCGTCGATTTTTACAAAGCTCATCTGTCTGAAAAGCGAGGTGTGCTCTGATTGGCCAGCTATCCAGTGTATTGTGATTGGCCGAATACCTCAAGCGTGTGACGGAAATGTTAAGTCCCTTACCATATTGTGATGCCCTGCAGTGTAGAGTAGCGCTTGTTGTTTGTCATTTTTCCGATCACAAATGCAGACACGGTTTTATGTTTACGCGGCGCGATGCAACGCAATGCGTAAAAAGACAGTACAAGTCATTATAATCCGTAATTATGTCCCAACTGGATGCAAAAAATGCCTCATTTATAATGGGTTTTATTGTTTTTGTCTTGTCGCGCCGGGAGACGGCATCACAGTATGGTAAGGGGCGTAACATTTCCGTCACACGCTTGAGGTATTCAGCCAATCACAACGCACTGGATAGCTGGCCAATCAGTGTCTCGCTTTTCAGAATGATGAGCTTTGTAAAAATCGACGCGTTTCAGAAAGGCAGGGCATAGAGGAGAAATAATAATGTACAGTATGTGGAAAATAATGTGTTTTTTTAACCTTAAACCACATAAACACATTTCATTACACCAAATACACCAAATAATGTTATTTTTTAGCAACGTCATATGACCCCTTTAACCTACTAATCATGTTCTCATCTCATTTCATGCCATCTTACCCTACAAAGACAGCTGAAATGTGCAGAGAGATGTGAAATTGAGTTAAGTTTGTTGGAAACACCTGCCTAGCAATATTTACATCTTAAGCATGTATTAAGTCTCTTATTATGGTTGATCGTTTTCAGATGTGTCACCCTGGCATTTGACCATGTGTGAGTGATGCATGTTTGCCTGCTACTAAAATTTTAAAGGGGTCATATGATGCTGCTAAAAAGAACATTATTTTGTGCATTTGGTGTAATGAAATGTGTTTATGCGGTTTAAAGTAAAAAAAAACACATTATTTTCCACATACTGTACATTATTGTTTCTCCTCTATGCCCCGCCTTTCTGAAACGCGTCGATTTTTACAAAGCTCATCGGTCTGAAAAAGCGAGGTGTGCTGTGATTGGCCAGCTATCCAGTGCGTTGTGATTGGCCGAATACCTCTAGCGTGAGACGGAAATGTTACGCCCCTCACCATACTGTGATGCAGTGTCCCGGCCGGAGCGACGACACAAAAACATTACAAACCCATTACAAACAAGGCATTTGTTGCATCCAGTGGGGACATAATTACTGATTATAATGACTTATACTGTCTTTTTAAACATAAAACCCAGTCTGCATTTGTGATCAGAGAAATAAAAAAAATCAAGAACTACTCTACTGCCCAAAAATCGCGTTTGAATCATCAGTGGCAAATGATAAAAGAAAACGTACTTACGTGAGTCAGAACTGCCGCCATTTTAGTCTAACGTTACTCTCCCAGGATCAGTAAACAGTCCTCCATAAAATGTGCCGGCGATCCACAGCACTAAGTTGATGTATTCCCTCAGCGACCAGCACAGATCAGCTCTAGGCATGACGAAGCAGATATCCTCCTCTTTTGGAAGGCCAAACAAAGTAGTTTCGCTTTCACAACGAAAAACACAGCGGCCTAGCGTGAGTGAAAGCCCCGGCTTAGCATGAGCTGAAGCCGGGCAAAAGTGAGCTGAGGCGGCGGGGTCGAGAACGGCGGTCCCAGCGAAAACGGTGAAAGCCGATCCGGTGATCCACAGCACTAAGTTGATGTATTTCCTCAGCGACCAGCACAGATCAGCTCTAGGCATGACGAAGCAGATATCCTCCTCTTTTGGAAGGCCAAACAAAGTAGTTTCGCTTTCACAACGAAACACACAGCATCTGCAGGACATGGCGGCAGCAGCAACAATACTACAGCGAGAATAAAAGTTACACCTTCTTTCTTTGCCTGACCATTTGGGCGGCGTTATGCAAATCTTCCCACATAGTGAGGTAGATATGTGGGGGCGTGTTCGAACGAGCCGTTTTAGGGGGGTGTGGCTGACTCTTAACATTTATAAAGAATATCTCTTTGGATTTGAGACTTTAGTCTTTGCAAATGTACAGATCTTCTTTATGCACCAAGAGCTTGTAACACTCCAAAGAGAAAGGAAAAAATGTAATTGCATCATATGACCCCTTTAATACTGACATTATATCTGACCGGATATACAGTGCTGTGAAAAAGTTTTTGCCCCCCTTCCTGTTTTTTAATATTTTGCATATTTGTCACACTTAAAAGATTCCGATCATCAAACTAATTTTAATATTACACAAAGACCGGCCGTCAGTTTGTGACCTCAAGCTCAAGCGCACTTGGGTTATGCAGCAGGACTATGATCTCAGACACACCAGCATGTCCACCTCTGAATGGCTCAAGAAAAACAAAATTAAAGGGGCCCTATTATGCTTTTTCACTTTTTCAACTTTAGTTAGTCTGTAATGTTGCTGTTTGAGCATAAAAAAAGATCTACAAAGTTACAAAGCTCAAAGTCCAATTCAAAAGGAGATATTTATTTAACAGAAATCACTTTTCAAAAACTACAACGAATGACTCGTTTGGACAACAACGCATATTTTCCAGGATTTGTGATATCACAAATATGGATGAATGCGATGAGACCTGGTTGAGCTGCACTAGAGAAGGCAACGAGTGTTATGTCAGAGACAGGCTAGCTTTCCCAAGGCAGACGAACTTAGAGTGGTTACAATCATCCGGTATCAAATTTATACAATCGCGCTCAAATTTATTTGATTTTGATGCAATATTTACACTGAAGCTCGCAGGTGGCTATGGTAAGGGGCATGACATTTCCCGACCAGGCACCGAGTGGTGCCAATCACAACACACACTGGCCCAGCTAACCAATCACAGCACATTTCGTCTTTCAGAAGGCGGGCCTTCATTTGATACAGGAACTATTTGAGTCGTTCATGCCAGACTGGGAAGAGAGGTGTTGTAATAATGTAAAATATGTGAAAAATAATGTGTTTTTCGAACAACCTAGTATGAGAGTCTGTTCTAGTACACCCCCAAAACAAAATCAAGATTTTGTAAAAGAGCATAATAGGACCCCTTTAAGGTTTTGGAGCGGCAAAGTCCGGACTTAAATCCTATTGAGATGCTATGGCATGACATTAAACAGTCCTTTCATGCTCGAAAACCCTCCAGTGTGGCTGATTTAAAACAATTCTGCAAAGAAGAGTGGGCCAAAATTCCTCCACAGTGATGTGAAAGACTCACTGCCAGTTATCGCAAACGCTTGATTGCAGTTGTTGCTGCCAAAGGTGGCACAACCAGTTATTAGATTTAGGGGGCAATTACTTTTTCACGTAGTGCCAGGCAGGTTTGAACAGCTTTTTCACTTAATAAATGAAATAATTATTTCGAAATCATTTATTTTGTATTTACTCCGCTTATCTTTGTGTAATATTACAATTTGTTTGATGATCTGAATCAAGTGTGACAAATATTCAAAAAAAAAAAGGAAGGGGGCAAAAACTTTTTTACAGCACTGTAATGTGCAACTGTGACACATTCTAACATGTAAACTACTTATTCTTCCTCACCTTACATTGTAGAAATCATCCCTTCAGTAGCGTCATGCTGTATAAAACATTGTTCTCAAATAAAACTGGGGAATCTATTTTATAACAATTATTTATGAAGGTTAGAATATATAACATTATAAATTCAGTACATTTTCTCCTTGGCTGTTTATTTAATTTATGTTTAACAGTCTCTGTTCTCTCATAGAGTCAGCTCTCATACTATTTGACTTTCATTACCCAATCTATGCAATACAAAGTATCACTTGAGAAATGTTTAATTCCATCGTAATTCAATGTTTGAATAAAGCTTCAGGTGGAAGAGCTGAGGCGATTAAAGGAGAATCCCAATAAAGCATCCAGTGCAGGCCGAGAGGCTAAAATTTATAATTTTGCAACTGAACGCACCCGAAGCTATATACCAGGGGTGGCGAACGTCGGTCCTGGAGAGCCGCAGCCCTGCAGAGTTTTGCTTCAACCCTAATCAAACACACCTGAACAAGCTAATCAAGGTCTGAAGGGTTACTAGAAAGCTACAGGCAGGTGAGTTTTAATTAGGGTTGGAGCTGTACTCTGCAGGGCTGCGGCTCTCCAGGACTGGAGTTCGCCACCGCTGCTATATACTGAAGACAGTAGAGCGCCTAAATGAGGAGCTGCATAATAAGCCCATTCAGGTACAGAAGGAAATGTAACATACAGCGTTAACTAATTTACTATTTGTCTTTTTGCTTTTATTAATAAGGAAGCCTATGGATTATCCTACTGTAGACATTAATGTGTGCTGTTCACACTCTCGCGCCACAAATGGATTAAGTCTTAATCCTTTTTTGAAATTATTCTCACTTCCTATTGCAGTTGAAGTATATATTCAAAGGCCATTTGGGCTAGTTTGTCAACTTCAGGATGAGATGACTCACGTAACCTAATAATGTAAATGTGTGACTGTGGCTAATGCAAGTGTCTTATCATCAGGCCACACCACACTTTGGTCATACGGATGTTTCTCCTTTACAGGTGGAAGGATATGAGGAAAATGGAAAAGGGTTATCCCCTCAAGGTGTGTTGGAAATTGAAAATAACAATGCGACCAAAGTGGCAATGAAGCAGCCTCGGCAAATTGATATTTTTGCTGAGGGAAACGGCAAGAAAGAGGAGAGAAGCACATCAAAGGATAGAGGAGGAGAGGATAAGGGGAAAAAGGCAGTGCTGGAACATTCCTTATCAAACCCAGAAGAGCTGGGCATTAACCCTCGCAACACGCTAAGCCAAACCCCAGAGAAACAGACACAGACAGAGCCACTTCACAGAACCAAAGTACACTTTGAGGCTTTGGATACAGTTATTGCTGGTAAGGAAGGATATTTTTGTGGCAGGTATTGGCTTTTTCTGATTCTGCTGTATTTTATGAAGTTAAGGGTTCTAGCACAAATGTCAAAAGTGCTACCAAGCTGAGATTTGAATCGACAACATTTAAATTAAAACACTGATGTTATTATGCTGAAAAAATTGTCACATTTTTTTTTACCCAGAAATTGCCATTAAATTTCACAAATTACAAAAAAGGCAAGTAACACATAAATGAAACATGACATTTCAAATGAGATAAACTAAAGTAGTATTTTCTTGTAAAACAATAATCTGTGTTTTTTTTTTTTTACAGCTTTGAAAAATCATTTTTACAGTATAGTTTTAATTTCTGTTGAAATACAGGGAATGCTGTGCAATCACACCATGTTATGGCTGGACGAGAAGATGTAAAACAGATGCAAAAGCACGAAAAGGTGTGTCTGATAATGCAGTGTATATTTTATTATATATAATGTCATTTTTTGATCTGCATTTGCAAATTTTCCTCTTTGCAGTAAGAATTGCATGATCAGACATGAAAGAGGCCTAAAACAGATTTGAAAAGATCATTGTTTGTTTACGCTGTTCAGAAATTAGATCTGTGTCACATGTAGAAAACAGGAAAAAAACTGATCCGGACCACTGTGTGAATGGCAAATTGCATGCAGAGTCATAAATTAATTATTCAATAACATCAAGGCAGTGTGGCGTAAACACTGTGGCTGAGCTTTCTCTGTATTATTTCTCGAAAAGCTCAATTATTTGACTTTGAAGTGCAAATTACAATTTCTTTAAAGTTTTATCACAGGAAATTGTATCATTTGAAGTTTAAGATTTCTATTAATTACGTATTCTCTCTTGAAATGACTCCTTTTAAGCAGGGCATGGGAGAAAAAAACCTGAACTCTGTGAATGAGGCCAACAACCAGAAAGAAGATGAATTTGAAGAGGCAGAAGAAGAAACCGAGTACAAGAGCAATGCGAATAAGATCAGGCCTGAAGAGGATGAGCAGCTTGTGGTGAGTTAACAAGAAGGATACAGACAAGCTCCTCTTATATTATTCATGGAATAAAGTCTGCAGTGATACTGACCTCTGACATTTGTACAAGTACAAGTTTGATTTATTTTGCCAAGGGATTTTTTAAAATTTATCATTATTTGGCAATATTGAACATACACTGCTGTTCAAACATTTGGGGTCAGTAAGATGACTTTTGTTTTTTAAGAAATGAATTTTATTCAGCAAGGACACATTAAACTGATCAAACCTGACTGTAATGCATTTTACATTGTCACAAAAAAATCTATTTCAAATAAATGCTGTTTTTTTTAATGTTCAATTGACCAAAGAATTCTGAAAATATCACGGTTTCTACAAAAAATAATAACTGTTTTCAACATTAATAACAAGAAATGTTTCTTGAGCACCAAATCAGCATATTAGATTAGGATCATGTGACACTGAAGACAATGTGACACTGAGTAATGATGCTGAAAAGTCAACTTTGCCATCATAGGAATAAATTACATTTTAAAATATATTCAAATAAAAGCAGTTATTTTAAATTGTAATAATATTTCACAGTATTACAATTTTTACTGTATTTTTGATCAAACAAATGCAGCCTTGGCGAGCATGTTATATTATTCATGGAATAAAGTCTGCAGTGATACTGACCTCTGACATTTGTACAAGTACAAGTTTGATTTATTTTGCCAAGGGATTTTTAAAAATTTATCATTATTTGGCAATATTGAACATACACTGCTGTTCAAACATTTGGGGTCAGTAAGATGACTTTTGTTTTTTAAGAAATGAATTTTATTCAGCAAGGACACATTAAACTGATCAAACCTGACTGTAATGCATTTTACATTGTCACAAAAAAATCTATTTCAAATAAATGCTGTTTTTTTTAATGTTCAATTGACCAAAGAATTCTGAAAATATCACGGTTTCTACAAAAAATAATAACTGTTTTCAACATTAATAACAAGAAATGTTTCTTGAGCACCAAATCAGCATATTAGATTAGGATCATGTGACACTGAAGACAATGTGACACTGAGTAATGATGCTGAAAAGTCAACTTTGCCATCATAGGAATAAATTACATTTTAAAATATATTCAAATAAAAGCAGTTATTTTAAATTGTAATAATATTTCACAGTATTACAATTTTTACTGTATTTTTGATCAAACAAATGCAGCCTTGGCGAGCATAAGGGACTTCTTTCAAAAACATAAAAAACGTAACAATCGCACATTTTTGAATTATGATGTATTTCATTAATATTTTTACAGATGTTTACAGATTTAAATGACCTTTATCATTTTAAAGTAAATTTAAAAAAAAAAAAAACATTAACTTCAGTAAATATTAAAATTAACAACCATTTTATACTGTATATTATAATGTTGTAGCATTTAAAATTATAAATTTTTTAGCATTTTATTTTTTAATTTAGACAAAAGAGTAAATAAATAAATGTAAAACCTGTTGACAAAGTTGCTGTTAGTAGTTTCCAGCAAAAGAACTAAACCCTCTGTTATGGAACGATAAGCAGATTACTGATGCACTATATCAATAGGTGGCAGGCAATCCCAAGCAGCAAGAGGACCAGCCGGATGAGCAATATGAGGACGATGTAGAGTATGAGGTGAGGGAATACAGGCATTGATGGACTGGTGTGCTGTGGAAGTGATACAAAATGCTACATGAAAAATGACTTGTTCCCATCATCCCCACTGCAACATCCATTAGACTCTTGATGACTCAGTGCATGACAGACAGAAGAGAGCAGAAGAGGAAGAGAGTGAAGAAGATCCCTACAGTGAGCGTAATGGAGCACAGGTCAGCCAACTGCTTAAGAAGGCCTTTCCTATCAATCAACCAAAAGTAGTGAGAAACATATAGAAAAGAATTATAACTTTGTACTTTAGCTGAAAATGCAGAGCAGTGTATTTAGAATGTAAATGCACAAAATGTTAGACAGGCTAAGTGCATTTTGAGCACAGAAGATTTGAAATATCAAAAAACGTTTTGTTTCAGGGCCATGATAAACTGAATGAAAACCCAGAAGCTGAAAACGATGCCAGTCAGATGGAGAGCTTCCAAGAAAAACTGATAAAAAGAGGATGAAGAAGATCTTAGGGAAAGAAATCAAAAGCCTGAGATGTGGAGGGGACTGATTCTAGTGCCTGATGAGTGGCTTTACACATCTCTTCTTGCAGAAAACTAAAGTGCAACAACTGTGATCCCTTGTTTTTTTAAGTGACTACTTATGCAAGAGCCTTGTACTTCCAAGTACAAGGATTTGTTTAGCATTCATATTTAATCAAAGCATTGTATCTTTTTGATCTCACTAAGGCGATATGAAATGGCACCCTGCTGAATAAAAATAAGTCAACTTTTGATTTCTTATGTCAGAGAGTAGTTGAATGATTTCTTGTAGGCAAATATTATTTATTTTTTAATATTCCCTCAGTTCTGTACTTGGGATTTTTAAGGTGAAAACATTTTTTTCAAATTAATCTTCACTTATTAAAAGTAGTAATGTAGTAAAATGGATAAGAAGTTAAATTGTAAATGATTTTCCAATGTTTCTTTTTACCTTTTTGTACTTTTTGTCTGGTATATCACTTTCATCTCAAAACCTAAAGCGCATCTGGATTTTCCCTGTAAAGTATAAAAATATTATTTATTAAAGCTGTACAAGAGCTCTTTATTACAAAATATTATCATATTTCCATAAGGATGTACAATTTTATCACTAAATTAATTAAGAGAGGGAGTGGCCATGGTGAAACATCCAGTCATTTAGTATCTCTGGAAAGCCCTGAATGTGCTCTGTACAGGACATCCAGACTTAAAACTGTGACTTGTGAGGTCTCAGAGAAATTCACTAAAATATAATGTCCACTACAGAGGCAAAAACTCCATAGCTGGGTCTCAGGAGGATATAGCTGGGTAAATCTCACAATGAAAGAAAAAGAAAGAATATAAAAAATATATTTTGCATGAATAAAATTCTCTGCACACTGATACATTTGGACATGTGATATTTCAGTTTTTCTTTTTTAATAAATCTGCAAAAATGTCAACAATTCTGTGTTTTTCTGTCAATATGGGGTGCTGTGTGTACATTAATGAGGAAAAAAAAATAACTTAAATGATTTTAGCAAATGGCTGCAATATAACAAAGAGTGAAAAATGTAAGGGGGTCTGAATACTTTCCGTACCCACTGTACAGTACTGTTTAAAATTTATGGTTGGTACAATTGATGCTCACCAAGGCTGAATTTGTTTTAACACATTTAAAACTTAAATAATTGCAATTTAAAATAACAGTTTTCTATTTGAAAACATTTTAAAATGTAATTTATTCCCGTGATGGCAAAGCTGAATATTTAGCAGCCAATACTCCAGTCTTCAGTGTCACATGATCTAAATATGTTGATTTGGTGCGCAATAAACCTTTTTTATTATTGTTAATGCTGGAAACAGTTGTGATTTTTGCAGAACCTGGTTTTGAATCCATGTTGAACACAAAGTTCAAAAGAACAGCATTTATTTGAAATAGAAATCTTTTATAACATTATACATGTCTTTATTCTTACATTTGATCAATTGAATGCATTCTTGACAAATATGGATGAAAAAAGTTTTACTGACCCCAACATTTTTAGCAGTAGTGTAGCTTCAAGTAGTTTATATTTCATCATAAAGTATGTGAATATGAAATGTCTGATTTTGAATTTGTTCATCTGACAGTTGGAGGGGATAAACCTGTCAGCAGCACAGACGTTGCGGGCAGCATTTATCAAAGTAAGACTTCCTGAAAGTGTCCATTCATCAGCTGGCAGATGATACAGTATTTATTTTTCTGATATGTTATCTCTCTTCATCTGGCCCTTGTGATGTCTTTGTTTTTAAAAAACTATTAATTTCATGCTCAACATAATATGAGGTTTACTGATGTGAGTTTAATGCTCTTCAATCAACGCCACCCTCTCAAGGCAGAGAAAGAGAACCCAGGCCTCACTCAGGATATCATCATGAAGATACTGGAGAAGAAGAACGTGGAGATCAACTTCACAGAGTCACTACTGCGCTTGGCTGCAGATGACGTGGAAGGTAAAAAAATAATATTAATATAAACAGTCCCTATTTCTGGATCTTTCCTACACTCAAAATGATACAAATAATGACTGTTTTAGTATCTGAACCTAAAGAAGTTTTGTGATTCATATTTCACAGAGTACATGATTGAAAGAACAGAGCAGGAATTCCAGGACCTAAACGAGAAAGCACGAGCCCTCAAACATATCTTGAGTAAAATCCCAGACGAGATCAATGACAGAGTGCGCTTCCTACAGACCATAAAGTGAGGATCCTGTCCCGTGTTTTCACCTTGATGGCATAGTGGTTAAAGATCTGCCCCGGTAATCTGCATGGCACTTAACCTCCGGTCACTCCAGAGGGATTGTCCCAGTAATAAGTGTACTGTATGTCACTTAGGATAAAGCTTCTGCTAAATGAATACTTGCGTTGTACTTACTTACTACAAACTAGAGGAATAACTGCAGTTAAAATCGTTTGGAACCTATAGATTTTTCTCCCCTTATAGTCTTGTTTAAAGTGTAGTACTTTAGTTTTAATCAAGCAATCAGCCAACAATTAATCGACTAAGTGATCTCACATAGCTGACAATACCATGGATACATAGACCTCAGGAGATGTTCAAACGTGAAAAATGTGTAGACATTTTAATGGAACTCTCCTCTGTTATCTTGCCACTCTCCACTGCCTGACTGCTGAGTCAGTGCTTCGCTGTTCATAAATGTATTCATCACTCCTGACCTCTCGCTGATTTCCACAGAGACATCGCCAGTGCTATAAAAGAGCTGCTGGACACAGTCAACAATGTGTTTAAGAAATATCAGTATCAGAATCGCAGGGTAAGTATTTCTTATTTCACAGATTTTCACTGTTGCACAAAGCAGGTTGGGATATTTTTTTTAAATAATTTTCTGGAATTAATACAAGTTAAGGGGATAGTTCACCCAAAAATGAAAATGACCCCATTATTTACTCACCCTCAAGCCATCCTAGGTGCATATGACTTTCTTCTTTCAGACAAATAAAATCAGAGCTATATTGGAGTCCTGGCTCTTACAAGCTTTATAATGGCAGTGAATGGGGATCGAGATTCTGAAGGCCAAAAAAGTGCATCTATCATAAAAGTGCTCCCGGGGTGAATAAAGGCCTTCTGAAGCGAAGCGATGCATTTTTTTGTATAAAAAAAAAAAAAAAAAAGCAATGCATTTGTGTAAGAAAGAAATAACATTGTGTTAACATAATGTGAAGAAAATCATTTACTAAGCTTTTCTGTGTAAAGTTTCATCTAATTATACCTTGTAACAAATGTGTTGCAATGACAGCCTAATGGCTAAAACCTTTAAATGACTTAAATTTTTGTATTAAAACTTTTCTTTGAGATGTAATGTAAGTGCTTTTAGAACATAAGCTTCACATTTATTTTTAATCATAAAAAAGTCCCCTTCCATTGTATTAAGTTCCTCATTATAACCTTGATCTCCTTTTTTTTGTTTTGTTTTTTGCATAATCAACAGTATGTCACAAATGCTGCTATTTAAGCTCAATTCTTTTTAATAGCCAGATATTAACATGTTTAACTTTTTTCCCAGGCACTTGAACACCAAAAGAAGGAGTTTGTGAAGTACTCCAAAAGCTTCAGTGATACGCTGAAAACATACTTTAAAGATGGAAAGTAAGCAAGGACAGTGACAGATGTCTTTTTAAAGTGCAGTGCTTATGCTATAGTCTTAAAGGGATATTTTACTCTAAAATTAAAGTTTTGTCATTATTTCCTTATCCTCATGTTGTTCCAAACCTGTATGACTTACTTTCTACTGTAGAAAACAAAAAATAAATACATTTTGAAAAATTATCAACTGTTTCTGTCCATATACAATGAGTCATCTGAAACATTAGACCCAATTTGACCCCATTTCATCCTATTTATTTGTTTCTTTTTATTTATTTTTAAATATCTTCTATTGTGTTCCACAGAGATAATATTGGTAAGGATCAATATGATGATTGGTATGGATCAAAGTGTGAGTAAATAATGAATTTTCATTTTTCAACCATTTTCTTTCCCACGGCATTTGCTATTATTTATCTTGACATTTACCTTACGCTCATATAAGCCAATATAGGCCTTCTGCTGCAGCTTTGTGTGTGGTAAAATCTCTGAGAGAAAAGTGACTGCCAAGGCAAGGCGACAGATGATACTGGTGAGCAGACCATTTATTATTGACTCTAAATAGAACGCCCAAGGCCAGCACAGACAAGTTGCTGCTTCTGCTTTAATATCTAATGATGCCCTTTTAGGCTCACCGATTTGTCTTGTGAAAACTATTTAGTCTAAAGCTATTTGTTGAAACAGTTTAGAAGTTTGCAGCTGCAGCAGATTGATCAATTATAGAGGCCTATTGATTGGAAATGTCAGCAGGCATGACTGTGCGAGTCGATTGTATTCAAAAAAAATGTCCCCCCACCTGTCGATATGAGACAGAGGGCCGCCGCTTCTTGGTGAGGTGTTTGGCGGGGCTCTGTCTGCGAGTCTGATAAAGCAACAGCGGTTATGTGCGTAATCTGACCTTTGGCATTGGCAGAACCTGCTGAAAAGCCTCTTTATGAAGAGAGAGGCCACCGGTTGGACATTTCTCAGGGGCTTTTGACATTGTAGGCGCTGCTGACACGGTCTCCTCTACTGCCGGGTTTAATAGCGCTCATCATAATAAGTGCTTGTTACAGAATAAAAACAACCTAGAGAGTTGATGGCTCTGAAGTACAAATTCCATTTCATTTTCCAAAGTGGGCTTTGCATTTGGAATTTTAAATTTAAAACAGATGCTCAAAGTCATTCCAGTCAAAATCTCCAATTTAATTTATACACCATGTTTGATATTCATGCGATGCTCTCCAGTCTTCTAGATTCAGAAAAAAAGTGCTGGCATTAATGCAGAATGCCCACGAGCCGCTGCAGAATTAGCATTTAAAATGGTCTGAGTTGAGTTTAATGAGCCTCTACCAGGGACAGCTTTGTTTTTGTCTGCATTCTTGCAATATCAGAGCAAGTTTACACATTTGGACACCAGTCTGTCCCATCACAAACAGGAGTAAGAACTGTCAATGCAGGTTTCTTTCTAGCTTAACCCTCCTGTTGTGTTTATAATATGGGTGCCCCATTTGTGTTGGGCATCAGTTTAACCCCCATTGGTTTCAATGCAATTTGCCAAAAATCAACACTACCGAAAACACTGAGTCAAGGGAAAAAAAAAAAAAAAAAAAAACTATTTTTGCTTGTCAGATTAAAAAATGTAACATATGAGAAATAATGAACTCTTTGTTTAGGGGTCAATTTGTCCCACATATTTCTGTTTAAAATTGGCTTTTGTTGATGGTTTTTTTTTGTCATGGCTAGGCCTACTTTGTAGCGAGAGTAGATGCAAATGACTACAAATAACCAATAACCAACATTATTTTACTTAGTATAAATAATATTTTTTATTTTATTTTAAATTAATATTTATAGCCTCTGCATTTTTTGTTTTGTCTGGCTTTGAGGGTCATTTTTTTCACACTTCTTTTCAGTGCTGCAACTGAAAACCAAAAAAATAATAATAACAACCAAAAACATCCTTTCAATCCTTTGACCCCAACACTGTAGTCGCTAAAATGTGTACACCCTTTCCAAAACCAATCTGTGTCGAAGATCTGCAGGCCCTTCATGACTCTTGAGGGAAAAGTCAACAAGAAGAAATAGTTTAACCAGTGTTTCAAGCAGTTTGAAATCAAATTGACCGCACCACAATAGGAAAGTTATCAGTCAGAATAAGTTTCACAGTTTTCCTTTCTCTGCTAAACATGCTGACTTTCTCTTCCATTAGAATATAGCGCCTATCCGAAGTACAATCACAAGCGTGCGCGAGCACTGAGGCTTTCAATCATTTTAGAGGCACGCTTCATGTCAGTTATCTCTGTTCCATCACACTTTGATTTTGGGAGGAAATACTCCCGTCTCTCTTACCAGGATGTATAAAGAGCCATCAGAGAATCCCTGCTGGTGTTACTGATGGAGAGAGCACTTCTGCAGAGACGCGGGACCTCCTCACACCATTAGTTATCATAGCAACACGCTTGATTGATAGATTGCTGAGCGTTTGTTTATTTTCGCCAGTCAGAACTAGCGCCGTTGCACATAAAAGGTCTGCAGACGGTGTCAGCAGGTGTCCTACTGTAACCCAGGTCATTAAAATGCAGAAATCTTTCAATCCCCAGGTATTTGTGTACTCTTCCATGAAATTAAAATTGTTGTTGAACCATGGATTAACTTGGGGCGAGGTAATTGAATACACAAGCGTAAGCACATTCAGTAGTAGTGCGTCTCCTGGCTCCTGTCTCAGCACACAGCATACGTAGCATGTTGTTAATTTTAATACAGACCTCCGTCTTTTCAGTCATTGTGCGATTCAAAACTCAAGATGAGTTTTGAGGGAAATGTTATGTTTTTATGACATGTATGGATCTCCTTTTACATCTCCTTTGCTCACAAGGTCAGCCAACAGAACACTCGTGTAAGTTCGTAACCATTTTTAGGCGAATTGGTGGCCAATTCGTAAGAATTCGCAAAAGTTCACCCGTAAGTATGTTAAAGTAACCCTATTGTGGAATTTTTTTAATTACCTTTCATGCAGTGTGTAACACAGCTCTAAGTGAATGAAAATATCCTGCAAAGTTTTAAATCTGAAAGTGCTCCGTGTATAAAGTTATTGTCTCTCAAAAAAAGAGTCGACTCTGAATCATTGAAACGAGTCGTTTTTAAAACGAATCCCAAGCCGTTTTATGTTGACGTCAACATGAAACATTAGCATATTGCCCGCCCACTTGTTGGTCTTTTCGCGTTGGTCTGAATGAAAATGCAATTTCATTCTTTGCCACTAGGTGCAGCTTTTGGAGGGGTATAAATGTTTTAAAGAACTTGGGTGGCCAAGCGGTTGATGGTAGCCATTGACTTACATTAGTATTTTTTCCTCCATACTATGAAAGTACCATTAACCGCTTACCCACGTTTATAAAAACATCTTTCGGTCTCAGCATAGAAAGAAACCCATAAGGGTTTGGAATGACACAAGGGTGAGTGATTGAGGACTGAATTTTAATTTTTGTGGTGAACTATCCCTTCTTTTTAATAGTAGGCCCTATGTTTCTGTACAAATCACATTTTACAAATTCATACAAAATCACCACCTCCTAAAATAGTTGTTTTCTCATGATGGGACGAAACAAAACATTGTGATTTACTACAAAACTGTTACAGACTTAATTTATGACATTATTTCTTCTGTGGGACACACACAAAAAATACATTTTGTTCTTGTCAGTACTAAGAAAGTCAATGGGGTCCAAAACAACACAGGGGCCCTGTGACTTACATTGTATATTCAAAAAAACAAAACAAACAAACAAAAAAGTATTTTTTAAAAATTGGACATAATGTTCATTTATGGGTGAACTATTCCATTAACATAGACTGCAAAGGATTAAATATTTAAAATGCTGACCAAGTTGATGAATTATTCATGCTTCATTCCATATGCATGGACAAATTTGTGTGTAAATGTTCATATGTATGTAAGAAGGTAATTTGTTGGTTTAACCACATAGAGAAGTAGAATTGCTATAGGCATTCCCACAATCTTCCCATATCAGCCACTGGATGCCAGTATAGTACTGACTTGGTATCCTGACTGCACCCTAATAGCAGGGTTTCCATTCTTACATTTTCTTAAACAGTGGGTATTTATTACCATAATGTGACCCATTAAAAATAATTTCGCTTTTAAAAGATGCATGCTGCTGGTGTATGACAAACAACACAGGTCACCACTTTAAAAGAGTGATAGGCAGTCATATCACTAAGCTTGAGATGTTTGTTGGGAGAGAAGTATCAACTGCTGCTATCCCTCTAGCAGCTTGTCAGTTTTTCCAAGCACTTTGGAGGCAATCCTCATCTCCGTTCTCACCTGTCACCGGCACGTTGTACCTCTCACAAACCGAAGGGTGAAAATTCACTCACACAAGGTAATTGTGTCAAAATACATGTTTGAGCAGCAACAGAACAGATCATTTTCCTGTGTTGCCTTTCTTACACCTCCACAATTTGTCTCTGAACTTCACCTTCGTAACACCCACAACGTTTTGCCTCAAAATTTCAGTGTACATGTGTGAGCCTGTGAAGAACCGGAACAGTAAAGGAGGAGAGAAGGAAATGAATGAATTTGCATTGAAAACAATTTCAGTTCACTAAGGATCCTTTGTCAAATTTAGCAAAGAGGCTTTTTCCATTCCAGCCGACTTGCTCTGTGAGGAGACATCTGTTTTTAATGCAAGGGCAGTGTGGGTCACAACACTGATATTTCAGTAGGTCAGCTGACTGATAACACTTTCCAGCAAAGGCTTGCCCACTGGGGTTGTTTCCATTACTGTGTTTAAAGCACAATAGAGTAAATCCAGTCTCCCGACTTTTCCTTAAAAGGTTTATCTTAATAATGTGTTTCAGGAGAGGTCAGAGGTCAGCCTGGCTCTTGGCAATCTCAAACGCTCGCTTACAAATCACTGCAGAGTTTCAACCTATACTTTATGGACACCAGCTGATAAAGGATTTGCTTTTAAAAACATCTTGTTTATGCACCCTCCCAAGATTTACTTATATAAT